TTTTTGTGTACACTCGTTATTCTAACGTAAACAGGGTTCTTTCCTAGAGCCAACGACAGCTATCACAATCAACTGCCTTTGAGTTGATTCTCACACACAGTGACTCCATAAGAAAGAGTGGAGCTAATCTGTAGGGTTTCCAAGGCTATAATCTTTACAGAAGCCCCAGGAGCACTGAGCGCTTAGCCACGGTTCCACCAGGACTCCTAGCGGCAACAAGAGAGCCCTGGCTAACAATGCTTAACTGTTCTCTATTCTTTTGTCCTATGTTGTCTGTATCATTAGGCAGGATTTGAACCACTGACCCCAGCCATAATTCACTTTCACATAGAATGAATGGTTCACATGGGGGGAGCACAGCTCTGTTACAGAGACGTGCCCCATCTGGGATTAGCCAAACCCAGGGGCATGTGTGACTCCCAGAAAAATGCTTTTAGAGGAAACTTTGGTATAAACCTCGCAGTGTGGCATGCGCGTGTGGGAAAGCAGACACGCTGCCCCCATCTCCCAGGGGGCTCTTACTGGAATCACACGGAGGCCGGAGTGGGGGGCCCCTTCCCTGGGCCAGGCGCCCAGGGGCACAATGCTGGAACTCCTGTGCTGGGCCAGCAGGGAAGACAGGAAGTGCACGTTGTAGGCGGCTGGCGGGGCCCGCGGGAGCAGCGTGTCCTCCACCGGGCTGAGCTCGGGGAGGCCCGGGTGCTCAACAAGGACCTTCTGGTCGTCAGGCTCCGCCCCATGGAGTTCCACCTTGACTGCGCCCTTGCTGTCGGCACCCAGCGGGGCGTGCAGAGCCCGCAGCGGGGGCTCTTTGGCCTCGGAGTCGCTCAGGTAGGGGTCTTTGAACACGTGGAACTCGTCCTCCTCGAGTTTGATGGCCTCTGGGGCCTTCAGGACCACGTTCTCAGACGTGAACTGACTGTTGGCACCGAACAGGTCTGGCCCCATCTCGTCTTCCAGACTGGACAACGCGCCCAGCACAGGGATGTCGTCCATGTCAGCAGAGGGGACCACGGGTGGGCATCGCCCCTGCGCCCTGGATCCCACGAGGAGCAGCACCTGCAACCACGCGGGCAGGTGAAAGGGGTCCGCAAACCCAGCTACCTGGGAGGGGCTCCGCTACCCCTGCAGGGGTGAGCAGGGGGTCCCACACCCCAACTGAGAACACGGGGGTCGCACACCTCCTCTGAGATGACCAGGGGTCCCACACACCCCCGAACTGACCAGAAGGGGATCCCATACCCCCTGAGATGACCAGGGGGTCCCTTGAGAAGACTAGGGGGTCCCACAGCCCTAGATGACCAGGGGTCCCACACCCCGAGATGATCAAGCGGGCCCTTGAGATGACCAGGGGGGTCCTCCCACACCCCCTGAGAGTCAAAAACTGGACCTGGAGGTCGCGGGAGGCTTGGCTGGACCAGGATCCCGGAACCGCGGAGGCGCCTCGTCAGGCCTCAGCAGGAGACACACCTGGGCCTCCAGGCAGCTAACGACCAGCCAGAATGCAGGGCCGCCCCTCGCGCGTCAGGCTGTTGGCGGTTGGGGAAGGGGCGGGACGTTGGGTGGGTGGGGCGCGCATTGGGGGCGTGGTCATAAGGGGGCGAGGCCGTGATAGTGGAGGGGAGGGACAGGGAAGTGGGGCAGGACCTAGGGGCGGAGCGTGCAAAGAGCAGGGCAGAGTCAGAATGCTGAGAGTGGGGCGGGTGAGCGAAGTGGGGCGGGTAAGCAGAGGAGATGGAACCAGGGCACTCCAGGAGCAGGGCGGGGTCAGGGCAGCCAGGCGGGACCAGTGCACTCTGGGAAGGGG